ATATTTCGAAATCTAGCCAAATAAAAGCCCCTAAATTCGAATTTTCACTCAGAGAATCAGCCTCCAACTTATTTGAGTTCTGAGTGATGCTCACAAGATTGTTTCGATAAGTATATGAACGGATTGAAAATAAATGTTCATCGTCGTTAATTGATGCTTGTTGGTGTACCATATTCAACTTCATGGACTATTATAACTGATATTTTCAGAGATATGTCTATTTTCAGACACGTTCAATTAAAATGTTGGTATTAAAAATAATTATTAATGAATGCATATGATATTTCATTCGAGAGAAATTCAACGGACGATGGCATTGTTTTTCTCAAGCTCACAAATGTTTATGATGTAATAGAATGCTCCATAACCGATCACTAATAGAGCAGATAGTTTTGGATTAGCAAATTGAAATAATGACATAGGTGACGACATAGTTACTGGTGCTGCTTCATCATTATACGTTCGCTCATAGCCACACCTATATCCCATTTGGAACATAGACACGTTAAATCAATCTCGAGAATAACTGGTTTTCTTTTAAACAACATATCGAGTATATCACAGCCGAAAAATAATTACTAATCGGGTCTTAAAGTAGTTTTTACTTGATTAATTGCTTCTAATTTCGATTAATATTTTGTATTGAAAAAAGTTCCATAGAAAATTTACATGATAATTTCTTTTCTACCGTTGAATGTTTATTTTTCTCAGTGAGTTGTTTTTTTGATTCCTCAAGTGACAATAAAGAAAAAATAACTTGGCGACTTGTATTTTATTATTTTTTCATAGTTAAACAAATGAGTATACAAAAAAAATGACATTCATGTTTGTAGAGATAACAATGATCTATTTAACTTAAACGAACCACATCGTATCCTGTATATTGTTATTCAGTATCATCACGTTTGTTCGTATATCTTCAAGTGAGATGGGTTCCGGTACATTTTGATTGTCCTCACTAAAAACAAAAAAAGAGTAGAGTTAGAAAATTAGAAACTAGTCATTGCTATAACTGCTTATACTTTTCCAGGATTTCATCACCATCATGGTCGAATTCGTATACATGGGAAGCATATGCAGCTAAATGAGCATAATGTACTGGAGCTGGAATGGAAACTGACTTCGAACATCGAGCATCAGTATGACAGAGCTAAATAAGAAAAAAAATAATGTATAATATTTCCTGTTCATCGAATAAATTTTGAGAAAATCAAATTTCCATACCCAGTATGTTAATTGTTGAATATCGTTACTACTAAATTCATTTTCATCATGAAGTACATGATACAGTGCTGGACGTGATGTTCCCATTCTTTTAAATAGAAAAAAAAAGTAGGTCGATATTACGATATAAAAATTGAGAAAACTTACATAGCAGCTTGTGAACATAAGTAAAAATCAAATTCAGATGGGTGTGTTATATCAACATCAATAACAGTACCCGCTTCAACATTGTCTGTTCGTTGACCATCGTAAGTAAAGAAACGTGTATTATGTCGTTTCTTAACAATAATAAAGGTTAATCGAGGCAGTGGGTTCTGTCCATATACAACTATTTTCAACAGAAAAATACATTTTTTGTTGTTCAAATAATAGCAAGAAATGTTTTTTTTTTGTTTACCTCGGCAAGCATCTTTGATTTTTTTAACTTCATTATCTAATACTTTTTGAAACTGTCCGTCATCGACACCATCGCGATAAAAGACGATTCGATTTGGTAGTGTGTTACCACATGAACGAGCATAAATACGAAGTAAATCGATGACCATCTTATCCATCTCTTTAATAATTTCAATTGAACAACGCTCTTTCTTTGAATATTCTACAATCATAAAGATATTGTTTTTATGAACGAAGATTTAACTAAAATATTTACGTTCACAAAGACGAACTGCATAACGGCTACATGTTGGATCACATGATCCAACAATGGCCGCAATCGATGGTCTTTCTTTCGATGAAGTTGTGTGAGTTACCTAAAACAATAATAATATTTATTTATCGAGAGTAAGTTCAATGAATTTTGAAGATATAAATACTAACATCAACACCGAAAAACATGAAACGATCATTATTCGATGCTTGATTAAGAGCAGCTTTTAGATTAACGATACCATTGATGCCACCGATCTTAGCATTCAATTTTTGACTTAAATTTTCTACATCTGAAAAATAAAAGTTATTATCATTAAGCAAATCTAGTAGAAAAAAAAATATCATCACATACACATATGAAGTTTTTCGGAATTTCTTTGTATAGCTTGAAAACTAGCACATTGAGTTATTAAACCAATTTTTTGATTTCCTAATTTTTTAACATAATTATAAACTTCCGGTACCGTGTCATTTAAGATGACAATCGCCAATTGCCAATCTTGACTCTTAACTTGTGTGAATGTTTGGTCAATGTCATCTTTGCGACTTGGCTTAGCTATGGTCAACGGATTTGAATTGATTCCAATACCGTATCTCATTAGTAACTGTTAGAATTAGAAATAAAAATCTGATATTTCGATCATTCGATTAAAATGCTTAACTCACCGATGGTAATTGTTTCTCGAAATTTTTTAGAATTCCGATTATATTGTTGTCAGGTTTCGAGCCAAAATAAATCATACCCCATTTATTGATCACCGATGTTGAACGAAATTGATTTCGAATTTTCCATTTCCCAAATGCAACATGCTCAACAACTTCTTGATTATTTTGTGCTCGATATTTTATTTGGGGTGGAGGTAAAATACGAGCTAAACTTACACAATATAATACACAACTATCAATGAAAGAATAAACTATTATTTACCTTGTATTTTCAACATATCTTCAGTTTTAACTTGAATATTAAGTGCTTTTAAATAAGAATCTCCATTAAAATTGCGTTTATTTATAATATCCATGATTTCATTGTAGCGTTGTTCAGGTTTAACAATGGCTTTTTGTGCTACTAAACGTTGCTGTACGCTGTCTAATGGTCTCATAGCACGTTCCCATTCTACAATCTACGAAAATAAAAGAACGACTTATTTATACATTCGTTTTTTACTTCCAGAAAACGCTAATAATTGATTTTAGGGAAGAGCTTTCAATAGAGTATTCATCCGATAGCTCTCTATTCTTGCAAATTGAAATAACTACTGTGATTATATTCAAATCGTTCTTAGAATAATGAATCAAAGTCGAAAAATATTTTTATAGGATTTGGGGTGATTCGAACAATATTTATAGATTAAATAATCCACAATAAAAGTCTCTTCAATGATGAATTGTCTCATGTGTCTTATAGAAACAAATGCTTGTTACTATTATAAGAATGGTTTTTCTTTTTCTTTCACTATACAGTAATGACTATGTTACTGATAAATCTCTTTCGAATAGTCAGCAGAGTGTTGTGAAACTTGTCGGATATTATCTCAAGTATAAGACTTCATTATTCGGAAAATTTTAGATTAAGTATATTTTTTCTAATATGATGGCAATTAGATAGAAAATTATCATGGATCGATAAAGGAAAATTTTCGTAAACAATCTTTTAACAGTACCTCAATATTAAATGGAAACCAATGAAATTATATCTTTAGCTAAATAAAAATCTGTTAGCTCAATCACTGAGGAATTGAATTGTGAAATACCATAGAACTGTAGGTATTGCAAAATAGAGAATTCATCACAATCAAGCAGTTTATGATTTCCTACCTATTACTAATATATTGCAGTGTATTTTGATCTCACGTTCTGTGATAATTCAGTACTTCAATATCTGTTAACTATACCTGAACGGTTTCCATGGGTAACCAATGAGCTCGTTGTTCTTCGCCACTTCGAGCATCGATACAAGGCAAATTTGGATATTTCAATTTCTTGTATTTTTCCGCAAAGTATTCTGCCACTGTGATTTGTTTTGTTAGCGATGCACTTGCCGAGTCATCTTTACATCTCTGATCAAATTTGAGTTGATTTGCCGGTAGGCCAAAGTTTTTCAATCGATATTGGATCGGACGTCCAGCATGGATGGTTTTTACTATTAAATAAACGTTTATTCTAAAGCTTGTTGAAATATTATTTATCAGTCATACTTGGTATATTTTTAAAGAGCTTCTTCATTCCGTCTAATTCAGCTTCATTTACTCCCTGTCTAATGTCTTGACGTAGATATCGACAAGCAAAATCAACAAAATTTATTGGTTGATAGAAACATGTAAATGCCAAATTGACATTAATTGTAGGACCACCACGAGTCAAACAAAGTGCTTGATGAAAGCCACTAGCTAAGCCACGTCCATCGCCTACATAGAGTTTTTAATGATTAGATATTTGTTTTCGTTCTTATTTGAAAGAAAACTTACCAAGATCAAGCAGTTGTTGACGTCGATCATAGTATTTATTTCTTATACAAATATATTGATCATGAACACGTTGTTTAAACAAAGTTTCTATAATTCGTATAGGGTCACGTGGTCGTATTGTGGTTTTTCCATTGATAAAATCGAAAATATTTCCGATTTTTTCTTGTCGAACAAGATTAAGTACTTTAAACTCAAAGATTTTCTCTTCATTATTAATTGTTAATTTAACTCGACGAGGTTGTGTAAAATCAGTCAACAATTCTCTGGTATATAAATTTTTTCCTTCATCATACCTAATATAATAATGAAAATTCCGATATTCAATTTGAAGAGTACTTACCAAACAATAGGAAAATCCTTTTCTTTTTTACTAAGTACTTGAAGTACTTCCCAACGTTCATTTTTCTTTGCTGGACATGGTCGTCGTCCATCACGAATCATTACTACTTCGATATCGTATTGATTGATGATCGCAGTGTCAATAGACACTGGAAAGTGATTCGTATAGACTTCTATAGCTTTGCCAGCAGTGCCATGAGCATCAGGACGACGAATAGGCATCAATACAGCCGAATCAGGTACAACAGAGTACACACCATATCGTCGCTTTGTTGGATGTTCGGTTTGAGAACGACCAATTTTTTCTGCTTTATGTTCAGTCGATTGTAATGAAAGATCAGCCATTGCTTCTGCTGGTGTAGGAAATTCGCTCTGTGAGCGTGAAGAAGCTGTAATTTGATTTGTTGATGGATTATTTTGTGAAACATTTGATTCCACAGATGGTGCAGATTGCATATCCACTCGAGCTAAATCAGCAAAAATGAAATTGAACTATTAAATGTTAGATATATTCAACATACATTTTCGTCCTTTTGGCATTGTTTGAGTTTTTGTGGTTAATAGTAATTTTTATGTCGGGTGTTTTTTTATGACTATATATATGAAATAAGTTGATATATCGTAAAGATAATCCGGTGAGTATTTGTTACCTTTTAAAATAGAATTGTAATGTTATCTATTATTGCTGAATAGTCAGTTGATTGCCGGAGCGTATATATATATATATCTTATTCTACAAACTAGTGGGTAATTCAGCGAATTCCCAATCTGACACAGAACCGACAAAAAAAACAGTCTGGAGAAATACTCAATGACTCACAACACATCAATAAAAGAATGGTAGCACTTAAAGAGAAAAACAGACGGCATACGGTTGTTTTTTTCATTCTGTTGATTTTTAACGAAAGTAGGTGAGTATGATTGAAAATATGCTCACATCGGGAAAATGTTGTGTAAGACAAAATGCAACCGCGTCATGTGCTTCTTGTTTAAGAAGTTTGTCATTGGGTAGATTTTTGATAGACAAGTTAAAATGAATAATTGGTTAAACTAGAGCTATAAGACATCTTAATCTTTTGTTCTGCCTCATTTAAACTATGTTGTTACACCTCAATCATCGTTTAAAGCTGGGAATGAATAACTTTTTTTTTACTAAATAGAGCATTGAATTGAATAACTATGAGAAACGAAAATTTGTCTTTTATTTGATTTAGGAAACTATATGTATTATAATGTAGAGTGGTCATACATCAAGAAACTCCTAGTAGTTACTTTTTAAAAACAATATCAATTTGCAGATAGTCTAATACGAAATCATATCATTTCAATTAAGAAACTTACTATGTATGTTGAATATTTGAACTCGTAGAAGTTCATATAGAGCACAATAAATTGATAACTGATAAGGTAAACCATAGAATGTTAACGTCATTGATGCTAATATCCAGTTAAGAGTAACGCCAGTTGCTAAATGCGAATGATTGAAGTAAAATACAAAATAGAGCGAGTAAAATATAGTTCGACTTGTATCTTGTTTCTCTTCTTCACAAATTTGCGTATGATTTGCTACGATAAATCGAAGCGATCTTAGCTGAATGAGATTTTTGTAATTGTTGCAATGCAGTTCGTATTTGTATTGACCAATATGATGAGTAAAGTGCACATAGTTCAAGATTTTCAAATGTATGTCGAATGAAAAAGAAAGAAATAACAGATGTAAAATCACGAATGAAATCTTCAAGACAAATTGAAACTACTTGATGTGTATGGTCGATGATATATGAAGAAAGAAATTTTATTTGACGATGACAATGATATGAGGAAACAACAGTACGAAGTGAAATTGAAGACAGTATCAATGTAATACGTTGATTGAGTGTTGAAAATGCCGTAAAAATATCAAGTGTATGTAAATAATCAAATATTTTGAAGAATATTTCATTAGATAAGTCTTCTAATCGAGTCATTTTTTCATTTTGATATTTAGAAATGAAAGCGTATAATTATTACCTCCTTATATATGGCGTCGGTGTATAAGAGACAATATTGAATAGTCAAAAATTATAAATAAGTTAATCAACAGTATGAGTGAACAATGATTCGTCTATGTGCATGGCGAACGATCTAAGACAATGTGAAAAAAAAGAACGATGCAATCAACTCATTAGATTTACACTTATCGAGTAGCTACATTATTCGATGCAGCAAAAGAAATATTGTGGAAATTGACGATTATAGTACCTTTCTAATAAATATTCACTTTTAAGAAATATCACATTATTCTGTTATTCAATTGTACCATGTTATCGAAATTTGATGGCTTTCGTCAGCTAATCAATGTTTTATTCAAGAGCGAATAAAAATGGGTGTGGGTGTGGGTGGGAATGAAGAGATCATTAAAACATATGCCCACACCCACCCACGACTCTCACAACCCCTCATCAATATGTCGCAATGAATGATTGGTCACTTGTCAAGTAACATTAAAAAGTCATCTGTTTTTTTATTACGAAATACAATATTAATAAGTTTACACTCATGAAACACGCAGCTCAGTTTGCACAACCTATTAAAAAGTTTTCATTGACCTTCGCAAAGTATGACAATAATGGATCACATTTGACAGATCTGCGTTTGTTTTATTCTGATTGAAAACAATCATTTTCAGTCGGCATCTTCGATCAAGAAAATGTCCTAGCTTTATTTGTTAAGGATAAAGGTAGACAAATAATATGAGCAAATAATTTTTCTTACACATAGTCATACTTATCAACACGCTTAGGATAATTCGTTTAAATATAGTCTTAACTTAGGAAGGCTAATTAACAAAAATATGATTACATATTAGATGTGCCGACAGTCTTAATTATGATATGGTACACTATTTATGTTTGCATTAGATTTAACAAAGCATTTTTCATATTTATTAGATATTCAATCCAACCAAATGTGCCACTGTATATTAATTTAAATCAAGTTCGATTGCAAAAAATAACTTCCAAAATGAATATGTCAAGCAAGTTATTAATATTTTGTTTTATCTTTAAACCTCTCTACAAATTAAAATCATATGAACATTTTTTCTCGATATATAGGCAATATAAGTCATAACTATATTCAACTATTAAAGATAGAAACAAAATTTTCTCAAAAGTCTAAATAAATGTAGGATTATTTTTATATAGAAGTATACTCTTATCGTTCAAAGACAATCTTTCTCTTTGAATAAAAATAGAATAACTAATTGTCATTATATTAACCCCTTGACTGTTAATATTTTTTCAACTATTGCCCATTACAAAAAAACAACACAGATGGGTATTTTTTGAATAACTTTTGATAGGAACAAGATGGAGAGCTACGACTTCCACTGTTGAAAAGGAGAGACAAATACACATCGAACGTATATTATGGGCTTTCCTAAGACGTTTCCTAAAGTTTTATTAATCAATTTTCTAGAAAAAAACATGATTATTTTTTTGCAGAAAACATTAGAAAATTTAGTCAGACTTTGAAGTGAAATCCCTATATCTCTCCTGAACGGGTAAATCTACACGTTCGGACCTTACGTACTTTTATAGATCTTTGATTAGCGGTTCGAAAGCACTTCTGATTATTGAACATTTACTTCAGCCACAAATCGAAGTACGTTGATTCTCAAAAATGTTGACTTAAGTCCTTGAAGAAATTAGGCCAAATTATATCACAATATACAATGCGATGTGCTTTTGTCTCCTCTTTTCAACGGTGAAAACGGCAATCCTCCATTTTGTTTCTATCAAAAATGATTCAACAAATGCCCACCTGCCTTTTATTTTGAAGTGGGCAATAATTAGTAAATTTTTCACAAAATAACTTTTGATATACAGGAACATACGAACATTATCGATATGAAACGTTGGAATCAGTAGAGAGAGCTCAACTCAGCGCAGAATATTAGAGTCGACATAGAGCGTACAAAGAAAACAGAGTTAAGGAATTGTAGTCTACAACTTTTCCATAAAAGATTGCTCTGCCGAGGATACTCGTCGTTAGAGTGTGGGTATGTGGGGTGTGGGTGTGGGTATGTGGGGTGTGGGTGTGGGTGTGGGTGTGGGTGTGGGTGTGGGTGTGGGTGTGAGTGTGGGTGTCGGTATCGGTGTGGGTGTGGGTAGATGTGGGTGGGTGTGGATGTGGGTGTGATTGCTTACTTCTTCGGCATTGACACCCACATCCCCACCCCCTCACCCACACCGACACCCATACACACCCCACACCCACACCCATACACATCCCACACCCACACCCACACATGGACACCCACAAAACATATTGAAACGATTGATGTAAAGAAAAGAGAAATGCTTTATATTCTCGATACTTGATAAACAGTATTTTCAATCTAAAAATCTTCAACTTCGATTCATATTGAAATTAACATAAATATATCAACATAAATTCTTACAAGAAAATCTCATAGCAGAATTGTTATTTTAAAATCACGAACTATTATTGTCTTATAGTATATAATGCACAAAATTTTGACATTTTATTTATCTCACATTGAACTTTATGCTGAATGAATTATGTAAAAAGTTCTTTATCTATAGGAAATAATTATTCAGTCTTCTATTTCAAGTATAAATAAAAAATAAATATTTTATATTTATTAAATGATTGTCTACATGATGAACATTCTATTGACTGAATGGAAAGTCATATGAAATATAATGAGTTTGTGATTTTCTACGAAGGGTCAAAGATCAACTTATGACACGGGAAAAATTCCCTATCTAATGCAGAATTTGACATTCTTTCTATTGATGGCTTTAGAAAAAAATTTAAGTGCGGTTTTGACATGAAATCAGTGGTCTTTTTTTACAAAAACACGTTTATGACGTGATTTTTAGAAAAAAAAGAGTTTTCGAATACCTTTAGGATACCTTTTCACAATTACTAAGAGTCTTAAAGTCTCTTGTCAAAACGTATATAGTCTATGCAGTTTGTTTATGCTCTACTCAATGGTATAGTTTAAATATAGTTTAAAGTAAATTTCCTCACACTAAAGAGGCAAAAATTTATTTTTCTCGAACTCCATGATCATAATTTTGAGATTTAACTTTTGTATCGTTTTATTTCTTTAATCATCAGCATTGCAGATAACTGAACGATCGTGATCTTCTTTTCTCTCGTCACCTTCCGCTAGATTAACAACTATCTCTCCTTCTGTCTACCAGTTTTTCCACAATTGTACAATTTCCTTCTGATCACGTTCCTCTCCTCTTGTTGTAGGCTGCTATGGCTGAGTGACTAAGCTGTTCGGCATGTACTACCAAGTTACTATGTTCGACCCTCGGCGCCACTAGATATGCGATGACCCTGGACAAGTCAGTAACGGCTGTTGGTCTCGGCTCACTTGTCCAATAGTGTACCGACTACGTTGTGACATACACTGGTCCCTGTTGCTAGTATATGGTTAGTCAGTGTATACGGAGAGCTCAAGTGATTGAGCGGAAGAACTCTGAGTCAGGCTGGCGTTCTGTTGAGAGCGGCAGCTAGTAATAGCTGTAGAAAAAGATATCAGGCTAACGAAACTGCCGTCGGGCAGCACCCTATTCTGAAAGGTAGCTGAAAGATGAGGTATTTTTCTTCTTCTCTTGTTGTTGTCCCTGTATTAAGATTGTTTCTTAGTAAAGCAGGGCGATGATGCATTAAATTCTTTTTTCTCTTCTGTCTTTCTTGTGCTCTTATGATGTTGTCTTAATAGGTCTTCAGGCATTAATACTCTTACTAAGCGTAATAAAAAAAATTCTTTGGTAAATATTTATCGACATGGTCATCGTCGTAACTTCTACCCTTAATTGATAATGAAACGATGTTTTTCTCCATACGACAACGATTATTTGTTCAACTAAGTGTTGATGAAACGTAGTATTTTTTTTTTAGTCTTCCGAGCTAAATTAGAGCACTATGCGCAAACTTTTACACTACTTCTTTAGGTGCATCTTGTGCATTTGTTTTGCGCTATTCAATCCATCAGAACTTTTTATTGGCTCGTGCGTTTTACAAAATTTTTTCCATAAAAAACACAAAAAAAGGCATGAAAAACATGATGATTATGCTTAGAGCATCATTGAGACACTTTCAATGTTTCTCTCATATTTATTCAAAGGTGAGTCAGACAGACCTAAAAGTTAGGATCTGAAGGTTTCTTTACATGCTCTTTCATTTGCGATCATAAAAAAGACAGATCAAAGCTTTTTGTATGATATTTTACCACCAAAATACTCGATTAGGTGTGGATCGTTTCTCAAGAACATAGAATTTGTTTTAAAATAAATGTTGATATAATTATCAAATGAGATTAACATTATTTATTAATGGAAATACAATCATACGAAAGTATTATTTTGTAATTAAAAATATTCATTTATACTGGATGAAATCCTGAGGAAAATATAAATGTGAATTGAATTTTTCCATCAGATCGTTTACTTTTTATTATTCTTGAAGTGCAAAACCTTCTAGATATTGAATCTAATCATTACATCTCATAAGGCGTCTACTAAATCGATATTTTTTCAAAATGCTCTATTAGCTATCGTGATTAACTTTTTTTTTAAATATTGTTAAAATGATTACTTTCCGATAAGGATAATGAAAATATTTTTAAAAGTCTAGGTATACATCAATATATTCTATCATAGGTTTATATGTGAATATAACCATCTGATCATAGGCGTTTGCGACTTATTAAATAGTCGTTTTGATTCTCATTGAAATACATCGACTGACTTTGTTTTTGTGATTAGACCCAATAACGGCAATGTATTCTGTTGGCATTCTTTGTATTGTTTTGTTGACACTTACTGCAACAACAAATGCTGTCCGTTGTCCACCATTTTTGTGCGCACTTGAATGTGAATATGGGTTTCAGTTTGATTCACGTGGTTGTCCAGTATGTAGGTGTCGTACATTATCTAAGGATTGTGTTGAACCTATTTTTGGTTATAATTGTGGCTTAATTGATCATCGTGATTGCCCTAATACACATTATTGCCAACTCGAGTCGACTGGTCTGCGGGGTCAATGTTGTTTGGCTGTTGCTTAAATTACAAAAATCTTTTAAAGATTTTAATATATCCAAAAACAAATTATTTCCTTCATAATAAATAGTATCAATCTTTGCTATTTATTCTATATTTATCCATTATTATCATGTATAAGAATAAGTTTAAAAAGTAAATTTACAAAATCTTGATAACTTTAAGTTGTAGGTGATGATGTTGATTCAACTAGAAAATTCTCATAATCATAACATGATGATGATGATGTTGTTAATGATGTTGATCAATAATGATGCATACGTTTTGGACAATTTTCAAGATAATCACGTTCTTGTTCGATAAATTGAAACGTATTATTTCATATATCATATATTAAATCACAGAAACCTTTCGTTATTATCACTCGTTTCATTAATAAATTTGAAATATTTGACATTTGATTTATGATCGACTTGAATTCCAATGAAAAAAAACGATTTTAAATAATAAGTGTTTTATATTTCAATGTCATAGATTCCACTGACATTTTTTTAATTTACTATCACAATACATATCGAACTGGAATCGAAGACTTTCTTTTAATGCTAATAATACAGGTTCATCATTTGACTTCGAATGAAGAAAATGTGATAAAAAACTCCAGATAAGAAATGATGAAGCCATTGTCGGATAATGTTGTCCTGAAAGCGCATTCGTTGATATTTGAAATGGTTCCAGAACATCTCGTATGTCGATTAATAAATCCCATTCATTTTGTTTCAGTGTTAATTATTGAAGTCTTTTCTTTTGTTTATCTGTTAAGCCATTAAGGTTACCCACCCTCCCCTTTCCGGGGTATCTTGAGAACGGCTCATCAGAAAAATTTGAAATTTTCATGACAGATAGATCCTGGTGAGTACAGCAAAAGTTGTCATAGACTCAAAATTCTCTGATGCTGTCTTCTATGAGATAATAGGGTCACAATGACCAAAAAATGGCCCTAGTTTTCGTCCCTGTTTCTTCAAGACGGTATGTTCGATTGAGCTGAAAATTTTTTTACGGGTAGTAGACACTGTTTGGGATGAGTAGTTTTTTGGTTTCTTTTTATCTTTTGTTGTTTCAATAAAAAAGTCAAAAAACTGAGCCTACCCTAAAAAACGCTTGTTTTTATTAATTTAGCAAATTTTGTGAAAGCTGCCAAAAATCACCAGAGCAATAATTCTTGAAAAGAAAAAAATTACTCACTCCAAATGGTGAGTAGAATATGTAAAAAAAAAGTTTCAGCTCCATCTCTCTTACCATGTCGGAGAAACGGGGGCGAAACAGTACTTTTTCTGCTAAAAATTTGATTTTGAGAAAAAAAGCAAAAAAATATAAAATTCTAGCTATTTTCACTATGTAAATTTAATTTCTCCTAGAATTTTTTAATCTTTAAAGGCAATTGTTGGATTTCAAAATATACTCAGTAGATAGATAGTACTTCAAACTATACAATGGCCACAAAAAACCAAAAATGAATAAAACAAAAATTTTGGGCGAGAAAAGGGAGAGAGGTACTCTTAAAGTTGTTTGGAAATGAAAAAACACTTTTAACAATATCTTTATGTGACAATACACGATGAAGAAGTAAGTAAGAGCTATTCCAACGAATTAACATGTCAAGCACAAGTCCGTCAATATTTTCTTTTTGTGGTTTATTTTTTACTTCAACATGTTTAATTACATATTCATTAGTCCCATTATGATTTCGAATAAATTTTACTCCAGCTCTGGCTTTCTTCATTAAATTAAATACAGATAGAAGTAGTTTATAATGATCAATTGATGACAACTTGCTATCATTTATAGTAAGTGACGAGAAATTAATATTATCATCAGAATCACTATCAAATTCATCATCGGTGGGATCATTATGACTTGTATCATCACCTTGATTTCAACCTTCATTATCATCGTCTTTATCTTCATCACTGAGTAAATACGTAGCTACTGCAATTAAGTTTTTATCAATATCAGATGCGCCATAATCAATATCATTAATATCGTCCCAATCGTCAGAATTCGAGCTAAGATCTAATGCAAAACTAAAAGGCAAATACAAGATCATTTAATATATAGATTATGTGCCATTAAAATAGTAAAAAACATTCTCATTCTGTAAAAACTGAATATCAGAGTCTGATATGATGAAACTGCTATAAAAATTCAAATTGACACTAGTACTAATGTTTACTTATCGGAATTACTGAATGCTGATCCTGCGAACAAGAAAGATCGGTGTACAGCAGTTATGTAATTCATTTCGAATGCGGATAAAGAAAAATTTGATAACAAAGAATACAATTATTAAAAATATTCATTTTAGATTCACAATATCATTATTTTCAGATGCTAGAATCTCCCTGAAGAGAATTTTTGATTAAATATTAAGTATAATACTAAGATAAATAAAGATATTCAAAAATTCAAACATACTAGTTATATCATTTTACATTGGCGACAAATGGCAGAACAGGTATTACTGGAATCGAGTGGCAAACTGCTCATTAATTCTATATCATGTGATAGAGTGATTAACCATCAATAAGTTTTGATGTGAAATACGGCAGATCATTTGAAATAAAACTCAGATTTTGGATACATAGAAATAATGTTAATTTACGTATTACGATAGCATGTAGGCACTAGAAGAAATCACGATCTCTTTGTAATCATATGTCTAGATCAATGCTGTTTTACATAATAAGAACTCAAATTTGTCTTCAATAATACTTAAATCATCACACCAGTAGACGTGTATTTAAACATTCTTTAGTACTGAGTCTTCTCACTTTCGATATGCATTCATCTTTCAATGTTTTATTATTAGACGTTTAAATGAGTACCCACGTTTATGATTGTTATGTTATATCATAATCCGCATATCGAAGAAATGTAAAAATTTAATATTAAATTTGAGAACGCAATGAAGATTCGAATAAATTATCAGGTATATTTTGGCAAATAAGAACATTCCCCTCAAAATTAATAACTAGGATTTTTTTACATAAGACCTCATGCACTTTTGATAAAAAAGATGCTTTCTGAATACTTAGCGACATATACTTGCGAATAATATATATAGGTGCAAACCAATATGATCTTGATTGGTTCGGTAGCTTCTCTTTCAAAAGCGGCAACTCTTGACATGATTCTCTTTTCGGCAATCAGAACGGGAGTGCGTTTTTCTTCATCTGACCATTGCCTTATCAAAAGCATTCATACACTATATAGAGAGATAAGCAATTTTCAATAATTTCTCACTAAAACGTTACTTTTTGACACAGCAAAATATATAACATCTACTTCACTAGGAGGTAAGATTGCTTAGTCCTTAAAGAAGTTGATCATTATCTGGACTCTATTCAATATTTTCTATTTATTTTTTAGCCTGTATTATAGCAATGTAGTTGGCATCTTGGTGTACTGTATATATTATGCGATATGTATTATGCTTCTCACCATCTATTGTACTTTACACCAGGTAGAGAATGCTTATTTTTTAAAATTTGTATGCCACCTCAAATTTTCAAGATTCTGCGTGCATCGTATGATTGAATCAGCTTTTGTTCTTGGTTTCATCCTGCTTTTGAAATTTGGTAAGTTATTTTGACATATCTAAATCTTTCAAAACCCATACTGACTATTTTATTAATGTAAGATTCTTTTGAACGAAACTGAAATATATTGAATTCGTATATCTTTTATTCTTTGGTATGATTAATATGAGTTTCTACAAGATTCAAACATATTTTTGTGACTCTCTTAAGATTTGTAAGAATCAATTAGTTAGATCTGTAATATATTCAGAATGTAAGTCGACTTTTCAGTTGATGATTGATACAGACGCAAAACACCAAGTCTGTTTTTTTAATTATAAACAAATTCATCAAATCAATAATGTCTTAATTATGGATGACCAAACTATTTAGTTACAACTATATATGTCAAATTTCTTTTTCCTAATGTTTTATCTTTTAATACAAAATACCAGTATAAGTCATGCTGTGATTTACTGATTACACGCTCTACATGATTGAGCTGTATCATTTTGTCGTCAATCATCGAAACTGAGAATTAAAAGATATTGCTCTAAAACACTAATACATCAGAGAAGTGAGAGAAGGAAATAATATCAACGAGGGTGCGACGTTACAATATCAATAGTTACTCCTAAAAACAGTAAACTTCTGTTTATTAACAACACAACATAAAGTAAAAGAATAAAGCTGACAAGGATCGATAAAACATTTCATCTCAAAAGATGATGAAAATACTTCTTAATTTTAGTATTGATAGATGTAAAGTAATTTCAAGATATGTTAATCCAAATGATATAGAAAAAAAAGATTTTGAGACGAAATTATGCTGAGGAGAAATCACACGAGGCAATATCTTCTATTTTAACTCATACGTACCTCATTCGATCGAGCGTATCAAAATAAGAAACAATTTAAAAGAACTATCCCCAACGGCTCTCCCTTCAAAAATTATGGATGTTTATCTCTTTATCTTATCTCAATATATTCTACTGAATGAAATATAAATGAATTAATACGGAAGGTATCACTTGGTGGGGTTTCTTGGTAAGTACAAGGTTTTTAAATTATACTTACTCATCTGAATTTGGCTCTTTTCAAAGACAGAGACCGTGCTTTACCACCAACTTGAGATTGTGCGCAATGCACGAAATATGATTACCAAATTTAAGTGTTGATGTTGCTTTCTTCATGTCAGAACCATTATCCGTGGTAATGCTAACAAGTTGTTCTTGTTTAATATTAAGTCGTTTTAATTCAAATTCTATATAACGTTCAATAGTTGTTGATAAATGACGGCCGATAACACGATGACAACCAAGTACGATTGAAACAGTTTTATATTTATTAGTAAAAACATGACCAGTAAGACTAATGTAATGTACTCGCTTCGAACTTCGCCATAGATCACATGTAAGTACAAAAAAAATCAACTTTAGATAGAACAGAACGAAGTTTGGTGGTGTATGATGAGTATATTGCAGCTATTTTTTGTCGAACCGTTTTACCGTTCGGGCCAGCATATCCAGGAACAGCTATTTGGAGGAATTGACTCATACCGGGTTGACGAAATACTCCCAATGCAAGACCATCACGTAATATACAATTAACTGTAGCGGTGTGCAATTCACGTTTCCGTTCAGGTGATATAACTGAAACTTCAACATTTGAATCATCATTTATTTACGATGCATATAAGACATTTGGAACTTGATGGAATGAACTTGCTAAAGGCTTACGTAAATTTGCATCACTGTATTTATGACATTCATAAACCTGTTGACAAAAGATCACATATTTAAAGCTGTAAACTTATCTTAAGTTTATTCTGTTCATCTACGACTTCAAGTGTGTCGTCTCTCTTCTCTGATAATAAAAAATTGATTTTATATTACTTAAAGAATATATGTTCATGCTTAATGAATCTTTAATAATTATACGATAACTTTGGAAAAGTCTAATTTATGATGGGAATAAGATAAAGATTGATTCTTCAGAATATGTTTTTACTGAGGCTTAATTGAAGAGACGTATACACTACACTGTTCAATAATGGATCATATGGTTTGAGTAAAGGCAATAAAGTTAAAAATAAGTCCGATAAATCTTCACTGTAATAATTTCCAGATCGGTGCCTACGCTAGTCATTTCTTTCTCTTCCTCTTTTTCATTATTTCCTCTACTCATTTCACTCCCTCGTCTTTTCCTCTCTTATGTAAGTATATGTTTTATATAACATAGTGACAACTTGAGATGTGAAGTAGCTAACGAATCCTTATTAGCAACGGTAGTAGTACAGCTAGTTCTTGAATTTTTCATTACATTTATTCACATGGGATTTAACGATGAGATGATGGAAAAAACATCGGTACCTTAGAAAAAAAGATATAAATCAAAGATATTATAATCATAAACTTTTGATGATGAATGATTTTAATTATAGTGTTCATTATAAAATAACTTTTTAAAATATTTCCAGAGAATAATGATGAATTGGGTGTTTATTTGCGATACATTCTAAAATTATGCCTTTCTTACCTTGATGAGCTAATGCAATCTACATATAATCATTTTGAAGAGCACACTTTACTACATGTTGCCTTTAGAAAGAGATTTTCAACTATACGTATTACAATACCAATATTTTCTATACAATTCGAGATCGAAGTCTTAGAATGCTCGTTATACATATGTATACATTGATTTCTCTC